GGGAAAGAGAAGGCAAACACAGCTCTGCAGTAGCATTACTGAGGAACAAGCTTCATCTTCGTCTAATTATTAAAAGGAAATACTCAATTTTGAGCTAAATGCTGGATTAATTTGAGCGTGAAACAGTTTTTCACTGGGGACTGCTCAGTAAGAGGTGATGGGGACGACGCGGCGCGGACGGCGCTGGTGCCCGCTGTGGAATGCCACCACCATCTGTCGGCGGCAGCCGAATGCTGCTCCAAACAGCACAAGATACAGGAGCAAACCCTCCGGCAGCGACAGCGGCAGCGGAGGGAGGATTTCCTTGGGTCTTTCCCAAATTCCTTCAGGCCGCCAACATTTACTACCTATTTATCATCTCTTTCCACTAATGCTTTAAGCAGATTATTTTGTTTGCACGTGCTTGTTATTTAAAATGCAACCGATGTCTGGACGGCAGCAGCTGAAACAAATGCAAGTCACTAAAAAGGGGAGCGCTGATTCCCTATGGCTGTTTCTAGGAATCATAATCTGTGTGGAAATGAACCCTGATTGCAAATTTGGTGACCAGATAATTAAAATATAAATCAACGGCACGCAGGCTGGGCTGTTCTCTTTTCTGCAGCACAGAACAACCCGATCAGCAAATCCAATTACAGCAGTATCTCGAGCCAGCTTATATCACATATGGTTAACCGTATATCACACCGTTAAATGCATATAGCACACGGGTTTTATATTGCTGCGTTTATAAATGAATAAAAAGGTCTCAGCAGAACGGTCCGGTCCCAGCGTGTACGTGGGGGTGGCACAGACAGAGGTGTGCGCCAAAAACACAGCTCGATTGGTTTATAAATCAGATCCTGCTTTCCTTCCCCTTCCCAAGACCAGAGGAAAACACACATCCTTTGAAATGCCAACTCAATCTCATTTTGTAAAATTCAGAAGTTTAAATGAACTATTTGATTTTGTAATTACGGCAGTCAGTAAAACTACAGAATGACTTATTTAACACTGTTTGGTGGTTCTGAAACCAGCTCTACGTCTGCAGCCCTGGATACATTTCCTTTTCTATACCCCAGAAGCTCCCCTGAGGTTTTACCACTACCTCTAAATATGCACATGAACAGCATCTGAGCACTCAGTATCAGGGAAAAGACTTTTTTTTCTGTATTCAAATGTTTTCTAATTAATAATTTAAATAACTACCAATGATAAGACATGAGGGGTTAGATGTGCTGTGATCCGCTTCTTTGCATTTCTAAGTGTGCTTCTGTGAAATTCCAGCCACGTTTTAAATGTTAAAATGAGTTCATTCTAGAAATCAAAATTTATATTAGATTCTGGTCTAACAATGATAATAATGACAATGATGATAATGATAATGATGGTGGGAATAGTAAGAAGAAGAATAGTAATAATAAGAATAGTAGTAGTAGCAGCAGCAGCAGCAGTAGTAGTAGTAGTAGTACTAGTAATAATAATAATAATAATAATAATGTGATTATTCTACATTCAAAAGAATGATGCTTTTAAATGCAGTTTCAATATCTTGCTACTCAAACTGGAAAACAAATGAGCCTAGTTTTGTGTCCTGGAATATGAGCAGGACTGCAACTGATCCAAATACGATCGGGCTGCGCGTGTAAAAGGACATCCAGAAACCTACCTTTGTGAGAAATAACTGGCAACACAACTACATTTCTATAAGTCTTCCCATTTTTCAGAATGATTTGACATCTGCAAACGTTTTTCCACGCAGGAGAAATAGTGAAAATCCCACATCATTTCAGAAAATAGAAGCAAAATTTATGTTAGAAAGCAACCCAAACCAACACTCCCACTTCGACTGACACACACGCAGGAACGCAGAAGAAGGAGATTGTTGCTAACGTGAAAAGCGACTTACATTCCCAGACATTTTGTCTAGTTCGCTCATGGCCTCGTGTATAGCAGCTTCTAAATGGTTATTTAGCTTTCCACTTCTAGGAAGAAAAAAAGAATGGCATCAGTAATTCGTAGTAACAGACAAAACCTTACAAAACTTAACAATGAACACATGAGCTCACTGGACTTATTCTACAGAGTAAGTACAAATACCAAGCTCAGATCTATACACAGTGTTACACAAACCAAAGGGTGCTGTTATAATTACAAATACAAACTCGAGGCAGCAGTGGGTTGTGTGGTTAGTTACAATATCCACAAGACAAACTGCAAATTGAATAAAAAGCAGGAGTGCTTCACGGTAACAGAGCACTGTGTGCAGTTTTCTTTTAAATCAGCCAAAAGGGCCAGAATGTCACTTTTTTCCCTGTGAAAAACTAAATACCTACATGTCCATCTGCTTGGAAAGTCAGTGCGTGAGCTGCAAAGTCTTCCTCTTGCCCAAAGCACAAAGCTCAAAGTTAAATATATCCCTTCTAACATTAAACAGCCAGAGGAAAATAAGCCATATTAACCCTCTGAAATGTTGTTAGTTTTACCATGGAATAACAGCACACCAGGGGCTGTGGTAAACGTAGGGTGAAGACTTTCTTCCTCCAAACCAGAAGTTACCCCAAGCCATTGGGCAGCTCCATGCACACCTAATTTATAGTGACCTTTTTGATTTTATTATCCATCACAGTATCTTCAGGAAGCGCTAAAGGGCCAGTACCCAGCTGGGATGCTCTTTCCTGGGATGTAAAGATTTACAGCAACCAAAAGCATTGGCAAAGCCTGACAAGGAAATCGCCCAGATGAACCATCTGACCAGTGCTGCTCCTCAGTAACGCCCTCCCCAAACTCAGCCAAAACCATTTCGATCTGGGAAATCGAAACAGGAGATCCGAGAGCCTGTAATTCATTACTCAAATCAGATATTCTCCCTACCTGCAACGGTCATCTGAGCTATCCCAGGGCAAGCATTGCACAAAAACCTAAATAAACCAGAAACCTCACTGACCTGACTACACCACAGAGAGGCAGGATAGGGCCTCACCCCCATACAAAGTTGCCAACTTTAAGCGTTGAATGAATTCATTAAAACAGTGGTAAAGGAGTTCTGTGCAACTTCAAAATTATGTATCCTGATGTAGTTTAAATCAACCAAAGAAAACCAGAAGATAAACAGAAATAAATATTCGCATACAAAGCCTGACATCTCCACCTCCATTATAAACGACAAACAGGATATTGTTCAATGGCACCATAACTTCCCACAAAGTTAATGTGACTATTTATAATGCAGATATCTTAACTGCTAACATTGTGACTTGCGTGTCATCGGGAAGCAGACTGCAGATATCAAGTTACCTATCTGTGATATAAACTTATTTAATCAACATCGTGCTCTATCAGCAACCCACCCTTATCCCAGTATCTACAAAATCGCTGCTGTTAGTCAAAACAGCCATTTGAAAGTACTTAAAACACAATCCATCATTCGAATTGTCAGTGTAAGACACTGCTGTTATGTTCATTTTACTGTGAAGATGATGATCTGCCCCCGAGCAAATCAAAGTTTCAGAAGTGCCACCGCTGAAACATCCGTTCACTGCAGACAGAACACCGCAGCTAAAAACCCCAGGACTCGACATCAGGTCTCCAGTGATGCAAACCACCCTGTAAACACCGCAACTTCTGTCAAATCCTATTAAAAGCACACGATCTCTTAGAAATCCTCCCATGGCTAACAGCTTTGGAGAAGGATTCAAGTTTCCTGGAGAAGACAGAGACTTGGACTGCGTCAGGACACACCGAGTGCAGCTGAAGCTGGGAAGGTGGTGGGAGAGACGCGTTACTGGAGTCCTGCTCAGCTCTGAGCGTGGGACACATCCAATGGGAGGGACATCAGAGACGTAGCTGTGCAATGCTAAGAAGCCACTGCTCAAAGTTCATTTTGAAACAGCTTAGTATGGATGGCAGAGATGGTAACGGCAGGGATGTAAATGGCACATTGCTGCTGTGGGAAATAAGGCACAGGGCAACAGGAAACCACAGGAGACACTGGTGGTGGGTGATGGCCCCTGGAAGATGCTTTGGGTGCAGTGGGACAGGAGAACACGAGTGAACAGAGCCATGCACATAACCACGAAGCTCGGAGAGAAGCTGGGATGTTCCAAATTAATTTCCAAAATGATTTCCATTGGCACGGCTGGGAAATCGGAACAGGAGATCCAAGGGTCTGTAATTTATTACTCAAATAAGATACCATTTTGCAGGGCATGAACGTCACAAGAACCTGAATAAACCAGAAACCTCCTGACCTGACTACACCAAAGACCGGATCAGAGGAGGCTTTGCCAAGGGAAGACTGGGCCTCCAGCAGAGGAGATCTGGAGTCCACGACCGGACGGGTGAGGATTAAATACTGGAGTTAAGGTGCAACTTGGATTGCATCCTGTTACATCCCTACTGTAACACAGTTTGTAGCTTTGCAGACATTTTTCATCTTTAACTTAGTTTTAATAATTTTATATTTAATATATAATATCAATATATATTATTGGAGACTGAGTTGGTGTAGTGAAGGAAAAAAATTGGAAAATATACTTGTGCTGAGACAAGAACTGTAGGAACACAAAGTACTGAGTACTCAATACAGGTAGGAAACAGAAACAGGAGTATTCTACAAGTAGCAATAATATCTAATGCTAAAGGTTGTAAAAAATCTGGACTTTTGAGTAACAAGATACTACAGAGACACATAAAAAGAAGTCCATAAGGAGATTAATAACTCTTTCAGATCAATTCACAACTGTACACAGGAAAAAGAAGAAGGGTCCTTGAAGAAACACTAAAAGATATAAATTATGAAACTGAATTTGAAATTTCACTTCAGCGACACCAGCAAATAACTGAGGAGTTGCCCAAAGCCCTTCTCTGTTCTCACCGCACACCCCTGAACTCCTGTGGGTATTCTGAGGATGATCTTGGGATAAACCAACCACCAACACTGTCTCATTGCATAAAAACTATTTCCCTTAAGCGCCGTGTGACACAGAAAAAGGAGAAAAGCTGACACCTTAAAAGGAGTTGAAGACAAATAATTATTTAATTCCCTTAAGCCCATGCTTATTGTGGAAAGACGAGTATGGCAAGCTGACTTTAAATTCACAGATATTTCTACTGCAGCAGTAAAACAAATCCAACCACAGCACAACTGCCCCTTTTCTACCCTTTTCTAGCTGTCCAGATTTTTTTTCTCCTGAAGTCAACCATTTTCCTCTTTGTCTACACTGATGCTTCACATCCTAATGCTTCCTGTTTTTCTCCGTATATATTTGTAAATAAAAGCTGCATTTTATGGTTAAATACAGCCAGACTTCACAATTTCGCAAGTGCTGCTCAGCGATGGGAATTAAACAGAATTTATCGGAATAAACCTGTGCTCTGCCTGCAGCAGAGAGGCAAGAGATGAAGGGCAGATCTTGTTAAAAAAGCGTATTTGGCCAGAATAGTTTTGCTGTAATAACTTTTTTTTGCTGTAAATCAGAAATGCTATGCATGAAAGCTCCAACAAGTGGGCTGACATTTCACAAAGGCTACCGCAAATATCAGGAGATGCAATAAAAATGCAGATATCAAAGATCTCGGATCATTATCATAACCAACACCAGGAATTCGGAAAATTCACTCTTCATTTTGGCCGATGTGCTAAGCTCCCTGAAATGAGAGTCTTAGGAAAGGAAATAATTCAATTATTCGTTTCATGGATAAAGAAATGAGCATTCACTTACTTCCTGTTCCTCTTCCTGGCTCGGTTGTACGCTTCCAGCCCTTCCGTTAGTGTCTTCAGCTTCTCGGGCTCCACCTGCGTGAAGGCACGAACACCAAACCACATTACCCAGACCTGCAATCGCCAGACACCGCTTCTACTTCGCTGCTACACATGCATCGCTACGCAGCCGAATTCTCGCTGCGTCCCAGCAAGGGACGGCTCTACACACCCCCTCGTACACATATGGACATAGTGTAGTGTCTGCATGTCCACACCACGAGCAATAGAAATAACACAAACCAAGCCCATGACACTTAGGAAAACAAAATTAAGAAGGAAAAGAATAATTTTTAAACCTGGTTTGTCTTTATATTGTCACCGTGACCAATGGTAAAGTCTCATATTGTGCACGCACATTTACAAACGTACTTTACACCTCTGAGACCACCTGCAGTGCATTCAAACACCAAGCTGCCTGGTACACACAATACAATAGTTACAGACCCATCGACACAAGCGCGTTTCGCATCACCTCAGATTTCTGCATAAAGCTTTTAAGGCCCCGGTTCAACACCGTTGCTGATGGCACGGCCAAAGTCAGCCCTCGTTCAGAAGAGCCACAGCACGTGCTTAAATTCAGACTCTCAGTGCCTTCAAACGGGGGCAGGCAGGATGAAGAGCTTTATTTATGCGTCATGAACCTGTAAGTCTTGACGAGGATTCACTTCAGGCTTAATTTATTGGTTCTGAGAAATATATTCTGAGTTTTTTTCCATTTAAGCACGTACTTCAGCGATTTGCTGAGTCAGGGGTGGATTTGAACACGTGCTCCACAGGGCTGCTGGGCTGGGCCTGGGAGTAATTTAACCAGAAACTTAAGTTCTCTTGCAATCACCCAGAATTATAATATTTTAAGCAATCTGTACATAAACTGCTGCATATGAACACTGGCACCACTGGGTAGGTACCAGTTAGTACTGGCAGAAACCATACAAACACAACATTAATTACATCATCTCTATGACTTTATCATTTGCATTCTCCAAACATCACCCACTTAACTCTGCATATTATTTTGATCTGGCTCAGTCTTGCTTGTAAAAACAACAACAAGAAGTACTTTAAATACATCAACTTTAAGAAAATGAGTGACTAAATTCCTTTTTCTATGTCACTGTTGCTACTTTTCACTTGACTTATTTTTTAATCTTTGCATAACTTAACAAGAACCTTCCACGGCGTTTGTTTCATTAAGCAGTACAGCTTGTGTTCTGACATGAGGAAAATTAATTCTATAAATACAAATTTATTAGGCACGCCTATATACAACCCGAAAAATAAATTTAAATGCAAATTCCCTCTAAATCCAGCCTTTCGATTACTAAATAATTTATTTTCACAGCGAAAACTGAATTTGGGACGTGACAACGTGCAGTTAAGGAGTGAACAAGTTGCCAAAATCTCTAGATATAAGGCCAAATATAATACATGTATAGACCAAGTGTCACATGTCCTGAACTCAGGCATCTGATAATGAAATTGGGGAGTTCTGACGTGTATTTTCATGACACAGACTCAGTTATGCCACAGATTGCAGCGCTTTTCCCTTAAAACTGTGTTTACTTTCAATGCGAGACTGCAAATACTCTAAATAATTCCTCTCCTAAACAGCGTGTGGACAAATACAGATGCATACATAAGAAATATTCTCTGTTTAAAACCCATGGAGGTTTTTTTAAGGATAAACACGAGAAGAAAAGGCCCACAACACCCAGAGAACATGTGAACGGGCTCCAGCAGCTTATACGTTACATTTCCGACAGGAAAACTGCATTATCAGAGGCAGTGCTACTCTGTCTGCAATATATAACATAACTGCAGCTCCAGCCTTCATTTCTGACACACAGCTAGAGAAGAAACTTGTCTTTTCAAACGGAACAGAATGAAAAGAAATAAAACTCTGCCAAGGGTCGTGTACGCCTGCCATTAAATACGTAACAAAGTTCAACGGCAAGTATTTTTATGGCGAGCTAATACCATGTGTGGGTAACAAGGGACTTGTGCTAATTACCAACCAGGAATCAATATCCTAATTACTGGAATTCTGTGATGCTGGAACAGCAGAAACCCACTAGCACTGTCAAACTGCGACCATAACACGGCACTGGAAGTAACTACACCAGATATACTGGAATTAGAGTATCATACGCCTTCATTTACAAGAAGCCGTTACAACACTGAATAATACACACAAATGGGGTCTTCAGGACACTGATGATCACACCTATCGGTATCTAGAAAAGCTCAGTTTAAAACCCCATGTAACTGATGGGAAGTGCTACTGAGAACGATGCTTGCCCTGCAAGGATCCCTACAAAATGCACTAAAACCAGGCTACAACCTGCAAACCCTTCAACTTTCACATTGCTGCTCTCAAAACCTTGTTCCTTTTTAGGTGATCTGATTTGGATCATAATCAAATGAATTACTTAATAACCAAATGAATTACTTGGTGAAATACACATCCTCTGTATCAGGATGTGTGTAGCTTCAGACTTGCTTCTTTCCTTTATGGAAATTTCTGCTGCACTTCTCCTTTAATTTTCCAATAGTCCAAAAACCAAGAGTTCGTTAGGAAATAAAAGTACAATATTCCTCCCTTCTCCTGCCAGGGAAACACCATCCCAGCTGCTCTTCAAACAGAAGCATTATTACATTTAATACCCAAAGTCTTTTAGATGGAAACAAAAAATCAAATTATGTATGATATAAAGAACAGAGGATACACAAAGTACCATGAAATCCCAACAGCACAGCAAAACTAATGTTACAGCACAGGAGGTTCACATCTGGTTATACAAATGCTTTAAAAGTTGTTGTGAGAAGGCTCTGCAGAAAATACAGTTTTGATTTGACGACTCCCACCACGAACCGCAACCTTGCAGGATTTTCGGAAGCACTGAATTTCTGAAGACCATTTGCTTTTCAAGGTTATTTCTTGTTGGTGTGTTTTGGTTTGGTTTGGTTTTCTCCCTTCTTTTCTTCAGACCAAACATCTGAAAAATGCAGCTGTACCACGTTGTTGTAGGAGTGGCTGAACTTGAGCAGAGGTTGCCCTGCCATATCACAGCTTCTGGCTATTTTCACCTAGAACAGCACTACTGTAGCCACACACACTTTTTCACCATATCCCCTCATATCCCACCTGTCAACCTCAACTCCTGACCTTTGGTCATTCACTCTGAACTTCTTGTTGCAAATATATGTATTTTTTTTAAAATTTAAAATTATTATTATTAAACCGAAGGTCTTCTGATGTGAGAGGTGATCCATTATGTGGGATCTTCCTGATGAAGAACTGGAAGAGTCTCTTGGTGCGTCCACAGCACTGCATGAGCAGCAACGTACCCACGTACCCATTGCCATGGTTTGCTTCCCTGCTGTTTGTGCTTCAACGTGCAATAAAATCTGTGCCGCTGAATATAACATTATCTTATAATATAACACTTATATCATGTACAGAAGAGACACAAGATTCAAGACAGCAGGTTTGCTCAAAAGCAACTCCACATTCTCCATCCACAAACTGGGGAGTAAACATAAAATTGCTAAAGGGTGCAAATGAAGAAAATGTCACCTCTTTACACATTATTAAAAATAAGCTCTTAAAACATACCAAGGAGTCACATAGCTATGGATACACAATTCTGTGAAGTTCACACATAGATGCATACTTGGAACACATGTGCAGTGCACGAACTGTATTTGTGATTCATTCTATTTCACACCACCTAATTCTTCCAGTTTTGTTTCATCTTAAACCTTCCAACCCGAGCCATGCTATGGTCTTTTCCAGATTGTGGTCTGTACTTTATAAACTGACTGGTAACTCTGTGATCTAACCTTCCCAAGTAACGAGCTCTTCAGCATTCAGATACTGTTCCTAAAGGATGTTGATTTATCTAAATAAACACTTCTGTTCAGTGTACTCAGACGTGAGCTCTTTCAAACCTTTGTGGCTAAGGAGGACAACGGAGAAGGCAGCTGTGAAGAGACCGAGGTTCTCCTGACCTAGGCTGGAAACCATTCTGGCCAAACATCATCTCAGTCTTATAGCACCGATTCCTCCAAGATCTGCTGGACCTGTTCAGGATGTGGTTTAGTGGCCATGGTGGGGCTGGGCTGATGGTTGGACTTGACAACCTTAGAGGTCTCTTCCAACCTCAATGACTCAATGACTGTATGGGTCAATTAAATCTGGACATCAAGCTCATGATCTGCAGTAAGCCCAGCAGTCTTACCCCCCAGAGCCACCAGTTCCAGCTCAAGAAGATTCCGAGCTGTGCACTGGTGGCAGTGGGAGGCTGCTGGTGCAGGAGCACTCCTCAACGTGGTCTTGTGCTCGCTCTCCTCTGGATATCTCCTCTGGACAGCTGCTGTTGGCCAAATTCTGGGGAAAATACTACTGTGGTCCAACCCACTATCACCGTTCTCATGTCGTGCAATGTCCTGGCCAGGTATACCGGGGAAAGGACATCATTTTTAAGGGGTTTGATTTCTTGGTGCCAGAAGTAAAATGTTATTTCATTACATCTTTCCCTTCTGCTTATATATTTTTAAAATTTGCATTTTATAAAGCAGCACTTAAAAATATTTATATATGGACGATGTGAAATGTTTTATGACAACTACAAAAACACAATGTGGTGCAAGTAGTGGAGACCAGAATTTGAAATATTTATCGTTATAAAATAGCCAATAACTCCTTGCTAACTGTGTTTTCTGTATCTTCTCCAAGAAGCATACGATTTGTCGACAAAAAAAGATGGATTTTAGTAAGAAAGAGCAGATTTGGATGCTTTCCTCACTATTAAAAGATGGCCAGAACGTCCTTTCAAGGTGAAAATGCAGATGCATTTCCTCTTAAAGAGCGTACGTGTCAATCAGCGAGCTTTTACTTATTGCAGACTCCTCAATCTGATTAGATCAGCTTTCCTTTTTGCAGCTTTCAGCACTTTTAGATAACTCTGTATCAGTTTCTTTGGACACAACCAGAAGTTCAGCTAAACACAATGTAAGTTAAACTGTTCTTTGTTAACATTTTTTGTGTAGCAGCTCTTTTGAGCACAAATTGGTTTGCAAAACATCATCGGACCAAAATATAATGTTTCACTGCAGTGGCTGAAGCTTCTCATTAGGTAACTATGGGAAAAATGGAGTTCTGCAAGCTACAGCTATGACAAAAAGCAATTTGTACCGCTAAAATAAGAGACAAAGAAAGAAAATGAAGAAAGGAGCGAGATAGTTTTGATAAACATTTGTATAGGCGTACGTACATGGGTACATAGAGATAGATATGTGCATATATATGGAAATATACCTTCCCCTCCTCAGCGTTCTGCTGACATGAATTGTGAACGTCTTCTTCTCGTACGAGCTTTCCAGGCCATGAAGTCAGTCCTTTGATCTGGCCCCAGACCAAGTCGCCAACGTTAAACGTCCTCGGCCTGTAATGGATCAGCTCATTTGAAGAGGGGGAATCGGGGTTCCTTAGGTCATCCTCACTACTGATGCTTTTAGCATCCGAAGGGCTAGGCACACACCCATTAATGCTTTTGGCATTAAAATCTCCATTGTAATGGATATAGTCTTTAACTAACGAACTTTCCAAGCTATTTGAGGAACTTGGAGATTGCTCTTCCAGAACCAGGTCTTGTTTAGAAGTGTTCAGCAACTCCCCAAATCCTCTGTTCTGCTGAGGCCTGTTTCCATTTATGTGTGCACATCTTTCCACAGTGTTCTCCAGTCTTTCCTTAAAACTCATCGTAGTTCTTTTGTAATTGTTATACCTGAAATTCTCCTCCAACATTTTATCACTTTGACAGTTTCGCTGTGATAACAGTATCTGATGCTGCTCGCCTTGTAACAGCGGCAGCGCGGAGATGTTATTGGGCCTTTCGTGACAAGGGCTGCTATGGATATGGGCAGAGTGCTCTAGAAACTCATCGCATTTCCACCTATTAATCTCACCGACAGGACTTTGCTCCCCTTCCCACTGTTTTTTGGGTGTGTTACAACTTGTTGATTTGTAATATTCATACCCATCCCCTTCACTCGAATTTTTACCGTGCTCCGAATTCTTCAGTATTCGCGTTCCCCTGGCGTTCCTTATCCTACCTTCGTGATCAGAAACGGCAACGTTTCTTCCATGGATCACCGCGCTGACAGCGCTAGAAAGATTTAACGGGTCACCAATTGAGGCTGTGAAGGCACTCATGGCACTCAAAGCTGGAATGGGACTCATTTGCGTTGTACTGCTGACGGCAGTGGTGATCACCACTTGCATGCCTTTGCTCGCAGCATCGACGACCGCTTTGTAGATGGCGTCCACCGAGGCATCACCCTGAGCAGCGACGTTGAGGTTTTCCTTCGCCTGTTGGCCGAGAGGTGGTTCAGTTCTTGGCTGCAACTCACAAGATGTTTCTTGGAAAGGAGGAAGCATCGCGTTGGAGCTCTCGGGAACCGGTGGCATTCCCATCTGAGAGATCATTCTTTTGTTTAGGGCAGCAGCATCTTCCTGCATCCTCACCTGGACAAGGAGAGCAAAAGATGACAATTGCTGTTTTGCCCAAAATTTTCAACAGACAAACCGTTTCATTTTAATAAAAACATCAGGATGGTGCCCAGAGTGAGTATTTGTTACAGCAGATAATTTCATTTTGGTTACGGATCAGTGATGAAGTTTAATGCTGAACAAGCTAGATGGGAAACAAAAACAATAACGTAGAGGAAACCAAACCCACAGGATATTCGACTTTGCCTCATGGATCAAACCAGACTCTTCAAATCCTTCTCAGACTCCGATTTTTCTTCTGTCCTCCCTGCCAACTGTTCCTACTGCATGCTCCTCACCCAGTGTTTGGGCCATCACCGGGCTTTTGGAATGGACTAATGTTTCTGTTTTTTCCCTTTTGGTTGTGTGCTTCACCCATGGGATCTCTTTTACTTCAGCCCCCATAAGCTGTGTCTGCACCCCCTTGCATCGCAGCTGTACTGTCAGGCACTGCCACAGTAAACCGTAACCTTCAGATTTAAGTAACTGTGCTTTTTATATTTCCTGTCACATACACAGGCAGCAACGATGATCTCAATAATAGTGCTATAACAAAAAACTGTAAAAAACAAGGGCAAAGTATTTCCATAGCCTCCTTTAAATACTTACCACGACTATTCATAGAACTGAGAATCTGAAGCAAAAAATACTGAGGTAAAGCGACCAAAACTCACACAAAACCAGAGAGGTGACAGCAGTTACAGGACTGCGATTTTGCCATAGCACTGAAATGTCTACGCTGAGAAAATAACAAATCTTCTCCTTCTTAAAGGCAAAAGCAATTTCTGGCACTATCTGCGTGCTCCCCTCTTCACGTCCCAGGTTCTGCAGCAACCACGGTAATACTGAATAATAATAATAACAACAACAAATACGTATTGTAACTCTGATTTTATTACCTATTTTGGTTGCTCTGCTTCCTGTCAGTATGTGAGCTTGACAGCTCAACCTGCATTATGAAGACGTGTCTATTTAGGGGGCTAGCAGGGAGGAATCATTTTTGCATGGTTTTTTTTCATTGTATATTCAATTTAATGCCTGCTCTTCAGTCCATACAATCCACTCTACACATGGTAACCTCTAGTCATTTAGTAAGTTTCTAATTACTGCAAAGTGGTATCAATATTTATCCTCACCACTGAATTGTTAAGAGAGGCCTAAACAGGATTTTCTGATCGATTCTGTGGCATGGAAAATAAACAGGAATTTATGATCATTTCTGTGGCACGGAAAATAGTTTTGCTAAAAATGTCTAGTAATTGTCAGAATATACATAGCGTTTTTTGTTTCCAATACAAAATATAACTCTTTCCAAAGAAACTACACCCAGTTCCTAAGGAAGGAGGTATAAAATTTCAGTAACAAATGTTACTCATTTGCAAAATCCAAGAACTACTGAAAGAGGCAAGCAATTGGATAAATCATACTGTCTACATCACTCAGCAAAAAAATCCAACCGTGGAGGGTATCATTTCACCTCCTGAGAGCTGCACGTTTATTTGGATATTGATTTCGCTTTGCTTTCTACCTGGAAGTTCTGGAACAGACACGCCATGGGGTTGGGGTTGTTGGCTGGGCTGGGAATTGGGGGCTGGCCTTGAAAGCCCTGCACGTTCTGGTACCCCTGGAGAAGGTGCTGCTGCTGCTGCTGCTGCTGCTGCTGGCTGGGAGGAAACATCTGGTTGTTGTTTAACAGCGACTGCAGGTGACTCAGCTGGTGGTTGTTCAAGGCGGTGTTCAGAGCCGACACGTCACCTGCAAGTCAGACACAGGGGAACGCCCATCAGCGGGGATTTCAACAGCGGGAGGAATTTCCTCGACTCCCATTTGCACCCTGTAAAACAACCCCTTTCCCCTTCAATCTTCCACAAAGCTGTCTTCAAGGCATGTGTCTCCTACTCTGCGGTCCTTTATTGCTTCAGGACTGCTCTACCTGGCCTCTTCCTACAGGGTCCTGACGTGACTGTCGCTGCCTTTGGGACAGCAAAATGAGCTCCTGGGATATTTGGTGGCTTGGATCCCTACTCTGAATTTCCAAAGCGACTGCTTCAAACAGTAGAAACTACTTTATCAACATCTTGTATTGCCAGAAAATCTCACTTTACAAGAAAATTCTAGTTCTAGTAAAATAAATACACTGTTAAACCTGACTTTATGAAATAATAAAGCTTAAGAACATCTCCATTTCTCACGGTTGGGGTTTATTTAAATTAAAACCACATGTTTTCCTTAAAATTTCCATTTGCAGAATCATTGGTTAGTTGCATTTTACATGGAAAATGTAAGCAGGGTCGACTTCCCGATAGCCATTTAGTAGGTAAGCATGAGGTATTAAGTTAAAATACTTACCAGCTCTTTGCCACTATTTAATTCCTCCTCCTAGTCTATTTATTAGATTACACAGGCCAAACAACAGAGGAGTACTAATGATATTATATATTCTTGGTAAAAAAATCATCCAAAGCACAAAAACCCTTGTATTTAAGGGCTTTTCAGTCACTTGTTTTGGGATGCAGGTGTCAAGTGAGATACTTGGGTTTCTAAACTCCAAGCTACGATTAAAAAAATTGGAGAAACTGGGCAATATAAATACAGAATGAAGGGCAACCTCCCTCTCTGAACCTGTGCAGGGACCTCATAGATTTTGGGGAGCGTGCTTGGTTCACGTGGAGAAAGGCACGTTTTCGGCTGGCGCAGCCACTCGCACTAACCCTGTGATGCCACACGCACTTGAAGGAAGCGCTGCACCCAGAGATGCGCCTGCGCTTCTGCGACTCGAGAAACGAAGCAAGTCCGATGGCTTGCAGCGTTTTAGGGTGTATAAAGGAGGTCTAAGGTGGCATCAGAATTAAGAACGGAACATAAAACAATTTCCAAAACTGGTCTTCAATGTTACTGAAATGAATCAGGATGTATGTAATTGCTCACGATAACAGTTGTGTTTTGCTCAACAGAAATAAACAAGCTGTAACATACAAAAGCCTTACAAAAAAAAAGAAGTATGATAAAGTGGAGTCTTTAAAAATAGAAACTAGAATCCGAAATTCCCCCTCCCCAACCCTCTTCCTTTTATTTTTACTTTTTTTTTTTTTCCTTTTATATCTGTGAAGAAACTGAACTTACCAAGCAGACCCGTCCCCAGTAGAGGGTTAAGTAGCTGTGGCACCACAGAGTTACTGTTGAGTTTAGCTGGCCCAGATGCACTCCCAGCATTATTAGATATGTTCAGCAATGTTTCTGCCATTGACACCACTGCTGTCCCACCACCCAGGGCTGACACAGACAGTGCTGCCACTGCTGCTGATGTAGTGGTTGTGGTAGTGGTGGCTTGGGAGGAGGTGGCTATGGAAACCTCTGGATGATGAGCGGTGTTGCCCGATGCAGCGGTCAGGACACCTCCCACCAGCTGGGGATTCAAGGCCATTAATGCTGGGGCCCCAGTGACAGCTGGGAGGAGCAGGGGGTTAGAAGTAGTGTCAGCGCCCGAAAAGCTGGGTACGGGGTTGCCCAGGGGGTTGGGTAAAAGGCTCTCCACCCTGGTGCTTTCTGCCTGATTGCTCGGCAAATGGTCAGGTGGGGCTGGCAGCTGGGTTACCGAGGGCAAAGGGTTATTTTGCTGCTGCAACAGATCTGAGATGGTCAGATTGAAAGATGGTAGGGGGAGCATGGCCGCTGCTTGGGCTTGGTTCTGGAGGAGGGTCGCTAGAAGCTGAAAATGAACAGGTTGCAATACCTGCCCGTCCACGTCACTGGAGAGAAAAGCTAAAGCAGCATTTACATTCGGGTTGAGAAAACCTAAAGGGTTGAGGTTGACCTCAGACTTGC